TTGGATCTTCTAAATATACAATCATGTCATTAGCAAATAGGAATAGTTTGATGCCTGGAGCTGCTACATAGGAGCTGAGCGCCCTCTGGCTTTGAGTGATGGAAACGTGGAGACTGGCTTCTGCTGCATGTGGAAGCAGGTGGATCCCCAACTCCACTCAGCAGGGGAGTGAAGCAATGGGAGTGAGCGTTACCCAATGGGAGTGGGCTACTTTCTTGTTCTTTTGTAATACTACCCCTTACCTTTTTTGGATGGAATGTTCTATCGAACAGCTCCCCTCAATAGGATGGTTTCAGGTGTGCTCTCTCTCTCTCTTTTTCTCTGCCTCTCTTGCTTCCCTGGGGCCAAGGAACCATCACTGAACCCCAGCTATTTTCTCTGAATCTGTGTGATTATTTAGCACCAACCCAATTCACCTGGAGTGATCCTGACTGATTTAGTCACTTGTCGCAGCAGTTTGAATTCTTCTTTTCTATACATAATCCCTTTAATTTCTCTCATCTGTCTGATTGCTCTGACTAGAGTTTCAAGGTCTGTAGAAATGGTGAAAGAGGACATCCCTGTCCCAGCTTTTAGAGGGAACGCCTTCAATTTTTCTCTGTTTAGAATGATGTTGGCCTTGGGCTTAGAATAGATAGCTTTTACAATGTTGAAATATGATCCTACTATTCCTAGTTTTTCAAGTGTTTTGAACATGAAGAGATGCTGTGTTTTTTTCAAATGCTCTTTCGGCATCTATTGAGATAATCATATGATTCTTGTCTTTAAGTCTATTGATGTGATATATTACATTTTTTGATTTTCATATATTGAACCAATCTTGCATCCCTGACAGTGAAAGCATTTAACAAAATGTGACTTATACATACAATGGAATATTGTCATCAAAAGGAATAGAGATATCATATAGGTTGCAACAAAAAAAGATCATTGAAATGCTACATGAAATAAGTCAGGCACAAAAGAACAAATATTATAAGTTTATATTTACATGAACTATCAAGAATAGACAAATTCAAGCCAGGAGTGGTGATGCATGCTTTTAATCCCAGAAATTTGGGAAGCTGAGGCAAGAGAATCACAAATTCCAGGGCAGCCTGGGCAATTTAATGAGAACCTGTATCAAAATAAAAATTTTAAAAGGGTTGGGGGTGTAGCTCAGTGGTAAAGCACTTGCCTAGCATGTGTGAAGCTCTGGGTTTAACCCTCATCACCACACCCACACACACACACCAAAAAAAAAAAAAAAAAAGAATTCTCTGTCTTGATTGGTAGTGATAATAGTTACAGAGATATTTGCTAAAATATATCCAACTGTACATTCAAAATGTGAATTTTATTGTATCTATTCATCAATAAAGTTATTTTAAAAATCAAACAAAAACCCTAGCTCCTCCTATCTTCTACAACCCTGAGATGCTGACAATTTCCAAGCTCTCTCTGGTACCCTCCAAACCAAAGGTGCCCTGGCTTTCTCCCTCTGATGTCACCTACACCAACATCTGACTATATATTTTCCCCTTTCAGTCACTCTGTGTCCCCATCTCTACCATGACACCTCCATCTATCACACTGCCAAACCAAAAAATTGGAGATTCCAAGGTCATGCTTGTTGTTTCAACTCCATGCCCTGATACCGAGGGCTACAGATTTATCACCCGATCCCTCTTATTCGTCCCCTCCCCACTGCCAGAGTTCAAGTTCAAATCTTTTTTTTTTTTTGTCTGAACCACCACTTTGACTTCCTTCTTGGCTCACCTGCCACTAACCCAGGCCTCCTGTCCCCAACCAATCTCTACAATGATGTCAGATTGACTTTCTGAGACTCATTTAACAAACATATATTGAGCCCCTACTCTGTGCCTGGCACTGTTTTAGGAACTGGAAATGCAGCAGTAAATAAGCCAAAGGAGATCTCTCCTTCATAGAGCTTACAAAGAATCATTCTAGTCAAGGAGGCAGACAATGCACAAGATAAATAAAAGAGTAGGTTAGAACTGGGCACTAGTTAGAGTGCCTGTAACCCGAGACACAAAGGAAGCAAAGGTAGGAGACTTATAAACACACACACACACACACACACACACACACTCACGGATTAGACAGTGTGTTAGCCAATCCCAATGATTCTGGCTTTCTGTTATTTGTGCCCCTGTTGTCTCCTCCTCAGTGAAAAGACTAATGGATGTAACCAGCTGCAGGAATAGTGTTGACTGAGGTCAGATCATAGAAACTGTTGTGGCTTTCACCTTGCTTTTTCTTGAATCGCTCACACTAGGGAAGCCAGCCACCATGTTGTAAGAAAACTCAAGCAGATCTGTAGAGAACCCCTGTGGTGAGGAATTGAGACCTCCTGCCAATAGCCAATGAGGGATTGATCTTGAAAGCAGATCCTCTAGCCCCAGTCCCACCTTCAGATGTATGCAGACCTGGATGACAGTTTGAAAATGTCACTGCGACCTATAAGAGGCCCAATCCAAAAGCACATGACCAAGCTGCTCAGAAATTCCTAACTTACCACAATGATATGAGATGATAAATGTTTGCTCTTTGAAGTCCCTAAATCTTGGAGTGATTTCCTATGCAGGAATAGATAATTAATGAAGACAACGAAAAGATAAATGGGGGGGCGAGGGAAATAGGGATGTGAGATTGATAGTATGGAGAGGAGGGCTGGTGTAGAGCACTTGTCTAGCATGTGTGAGGCACTGGGTTTGATCTTCGGCACCACATAAAAACAAATAAATTTAAATTATTTTTTAAAAAAGAGCACACAAGAGAGACTAAAATTTTAGAGACCATTTCCAGAAACAGCTGTAGGAGAGTGATTTTAAAAAGGAGGGTGGGGTGGGGGAAGCAAGCCACATGAATATTTAGGAAGACAGCATTCCTGGTATGTAGATGTGCGTCTGGTGAGTTCCAGATACAACTATGAGGTTATCATGACTACAGCAGAGTGAGTGAGTAGAGTAGGGATGAGGATGGAACTTGCAGGGGACCAGAGGTACAGAACCTCACTTCTATGGTGAGAAATGTCCGTTCTGAATGGAATGGGAGCCCATAGTGGATTCACAGCAAAGGAAAGGATATGGTCTTGTTGTAGGAACAGATGAGGCAAGGCACTGAAGATAGCAGGAAAGAGTTTTATTTGGCTGCAACCAGGTTCAGAGGGCACAGCTTGCTGTAATCAATCAATCCCCTGAACCCCGAGTTCAAGTAGTTTCAGAGTTTCATATCCAGCATGTTAGGGAAAGGGCTCAGAAGTTCACAGTCTGCAGAAGTTCACATAAAAGCAGCTTTTTTTCCCCACTGTTTTGGGCAAGTTAACCCTTCAAGGACAACACCTGAGGAGAGAGAGCCTCTTCTCCCCTCTCTCCTCCCCCTGCCAGCTGTTACCATGGAACCCAGTTGGTAACATATCTTAAAAATGTAGACATCTCTGTGAAGCCCAGCTCAAGGCCAGAGACCTTATTTTTCACATTTCTACAAACTACTGTATTGGATATGTTTGTGAAAAACTAGTAAGGGGGTGTCCAGCAGCTGGAGTGTTGGTATCTTCTCGGCCAGTGGCCAAGTAAAATAGAGCGACACAAAAATAGGAAGTTTATCCACACTGAACTTTTTTACAGACTCTTTTGCTGACAGTCCTAAACTCAGCCACGGTGAAGATTTCTTTAGAATCCCAAGTAAGAGTTTTCTGTAGAGAAAGGAGGTGCCACTTCAGTCTCACTCTAATAGAATCATCCAGCTGCTATGTGCAAAACAAACTGAAGGTGGGCAAGGAGAACCAAAGGGACTAGGTAGGAGCTATGACAACAACCCATGCCAGTCAGAAAAGAGTTGTAAAGAAGGGACAGAAAGAGGATATACTGGTAAGGTGGAAACAACAGAATTTGTGAATTAATCAAATATGAGGAAAAAGTCAAGAATGACTCCAAGATTTTTGGATTGAGTAGCTGTAAAAAAAAAAAAAAGGAATTATCATTTGTTGAGATGAGAAAAGTCAGGAGGAGAAAATTTGGGGAGACAACAGGAATTTACTGTACTGATGATAAGATCACGGATTCGGATATCCAAGTGGAGAGATGTCAAGTACAGCTGGATTCAGGAGCCTGGAGTTCAAAGCACAGATGTGGGCAGGGGAAAGAAAGTTGGGAGTCATTAGCTTGGATGGCAGTGAAAGCACAAGAAACATTTTCTAAGGAGTGAACACTGATAGAGAAAAGGGGAAGCACTAGAAGACTGAGCCCTGGGTCCTCCAGCCTTCAGGTGTGGGAGAGATGATGGACCAGCAATGGAGATCCAGAAGCTCCTAGTGAGACAGGAGGAAAACCAGGAGGGTGCTGCCCTGAAGTCAGGAGACAGCTTGTGGAGAAGGAAGAGTCATCGCCACCTGCAAAAGCTGCCAAAAAAGTTGAGCAACATGGAAGTTGCTGTGAACTTGATAAGGACAACCTTGGCACCACTGTGGGACAAAGTCTACTTGGAGAATGGGAGGACAGATATCAGGCAAGAAAATATGAAAAACTCATCAGAGGAGTTCTGGCTTAAAGGGGGGAAAAGAGGCATGGAGTGGGAGGTGGAGAGGAAAGTGCAACAAGATTTCAACTGTAGGAAGAGCAAGCACCCTGCTTATATGAGGGTGGAAAAGATGCTGGAGAAAGTGCAAAAGTGCTTTTGCAGGAAACGAGAGGAAAGCTGCTCTGATGCAAAGGACTGGGGTTACAGGGCAGTGCTACCCAGAGTCTGGTCCATAGATCATCCAAATTCTGTTAGATCTGATCAGGATTTTATGATAGCTGAATTTTCTTTTTCAAAAAAAATTTATAAATGTCTCTGTGTTCCACTGGCCTAGGCGAGCACGTGGGGGAGCAGCCCGAGCACAGAGCTGCAGGGCTGGGCCATGAGGCCAGGCGGGGGCTGGGGGGGTGGTGGCAGCGCCAGGGCTCCACACCCCGACAGTCGCAGAGAAACTGGCATAACTACTTCAGGCCTCCAGGATGGCAATCCATTTCCGTTCACTCTTTCCCTTGGCATTGCCTGGAATGTTGGCGCTCGGCTGGTGGTGGTTTTTCTCTCGTAAAAAAGAGCAGGTCAGCAGCAATGATAAAAAGGTGGACGCTGGTGCTGTGGTGCTGAGGGCCAGCCCTGACATCAAGAAATCACTCCCCATACAAGAAACCTGTCCTGGAGTTGCGTCCACACCCCGCAATGTCACACAGCCACTAGAAAAGGAACAGTCCACTGCAAGCAAGCCTTCTGTGGAGCCCCCAACCTTGCTGCACACACACCCAATCTGTCGCAGATCAGAGTCCTCAGGCTGCCTCCCTAACCCCACGAACACAAGATCTCAACCAGGAACATGCAAAGATGACAGTACAAAGGTGGAACTCGCCCTGATGGGTGACAAAGCCAGATCTGTTCCTCTTGAGTGTCCCTTCCCATCTCCCAAGGATGTGGTGTTCCCCCATGAAGCCATAGAGGTGTGTAAGTAAGAGGTGGTGTTCAGTAAATCACCAGGGAGGGGCTGGCCCAGCCAGTCTGTGTGTGCTGCAGAGAAGCATAGCCCTGGGGAGAAGGCAAGAGAGACGCGTGGAGCCGAGGGGACCGGTGATGCAACGTTGGGGGAAAACGTGCTTGAAGAAGGCTTGTTGTCCTAGGAGCGTGTCTCAAAATTGGAGAATAGCAAGGCCCTCAGCCTGGCCCCCTGGGGAGGCGGAAGAGAGAAGGGGAGCGGTGGCCCCTTCTCCCCTCTGAGAGAAGAGTCTGCAGTTGGAAAATTGTTAAGTAGCTCTGGCAAGTTGGCTCACGCAGAGCTGGCAAAGGATGAGGAGATGCAGGCATCTGAGGTCCAAGATGACAGTACCTGGGACAGAGACAAGGCGGCAGAACTAGGCAAAAAGGAGAGCTTGGATAAGAATGAGAGATTGAACAGGCTGCCTTCCAGATAATCTCCCAGGTGATCTTGGAAGCAACCGAAGAGGTGCTGGCCAGCATGGGGGTCGAGATGGCAGATCAGTTATATCAGGCCTCAGACAGTCCGACTGTAGGGCAGGTGGAGAGCAGTGCCCCAGCCAGCCAGAAAACTGTCCTGGGGCAAGACACTGCACAGGCTGCTCCAGCCGTAGTGGGGGCAGCCGCTGGTGCAGTGGACTCTCCCCTTCCCTTGCCAGGCCCACCAGCAGAGAACCTGCCTTCACCAAAGACCTATGTGAGCTGCCTGAGCAGCCCACTGTCCAGCCCCACCAAGGACAGTAAGCCAAAGAACTCCGCACACCACATCTCCCTGGCTCCCTGCCCACCTCCAGCGAGCCCCCTCAGAGAGTCAGTGGACAAGGCAAGCATCCTGGCGGAAGATGCCACCTGTGCTACCTGTGTGTCAGACAGCCAGAGTGTTCCTTCCGCGGCCTCCTCTGGGCAGTGCTCGGATTCCATCAGCACTTCAAGGCTTGAAGACTCTTGCACAGAGACCAACTCAAGCCCCAGGGACAAGGCCATCACCCCGCCGCTGCCGGACAATACTGTGCCTTTCAGTAATGGGGTGCTGAAAGGGGAGTTGTCAGATTTGGGGACTGAGGACGGATGGACTGTGGATGCAGAAGCAGATCACTTGGGAGGTTCCGACAGAAACAGCGTGGATTCTGTGGATAGCTGTTGTGGCCTCAAGAAGATCGACAGTTTCCAGAATGCCCAGGCAGGCTCCAACCCTAAAAAGGTTGACCTCATCATCTGGGAGATTGAAATGCCAAAGCACTTAGTTGGTCAGCTAATCGGCAAGCAGGGGCGGTATGTGAGTTTCCTGAAGCAAACATCTGGTGCCAAGATCTACATCTCAACCCTGCCTTACACCCAGAACATCCAGATCTGCCACACAGAAGGCTCTCAGCATCATGTAGACAAAGCTCTGAACTTGATTGGAAAGAAGTTCAAGGAACTGAACCTCACCAATATTTACGCTCCTCCAGTGCCTTCACTGGCACTGCCTTCTCTACCAATGACGTCCTGGCTCATGCTGCCTGATGGCATCACTGTGGAGGTAATCATGGTCAACCAGGTCAATGCCGGGCACCTGTTTGTGCAGCAGCACATGCATCCCACCTTCCATGCACTGCGCAGCCTGGACCAGCAGATGTACCTCGCTACTCTCAGCCTGGAATCCCCACCTTGCCCACCCCTGTGGAAATCACTGTTATCTGTGCTGTCCCTGGTGCAGACGGGGCCTGGTGGCATGCCCAAGTGGTTGCCTCCTACGAGGAGACCAACGAGGTGGAGATTCGCTATGTGGACTACGGTGGATACAAGAGGGTGAAAGTAGACTTGCTCCGGCAGATCCGGTCTGACTTTGTGACCTTGCCGTTCCAGGGGCAGAAGTCCTTCTGGATAGTGTGATGCCTCTGTCAGATGATGACCACTTTTCGCCTGAAGCAGATGCAGCTATGAGTGAGACGACAGGAAACACAGCGCTTCTGGCACAGGTAACAAGTTACAGTCCAACTGGCCTTCCCTTGATTCAGCTGTGGAATGTGGTTGGAGATGAAGTGGTGCTGATAAACCGGTCACTGGTGGAGTGAGGTCTCGCGCAGTGGGTGGACAGCTACTACTCAAGCCTTTGACCCTGGCTCCCAGAGCCACCACTTGAGTCTTTTTTTGCACTGTTGAAATTGGGCTTGGCACTGAAGGCAAAGAGTTAACATCAGAGTAATAAACATCATCCTCTCAAGTCCTCTTTCTCCCCATTCTGTAGGTCCTATAGAGAAGACGTTCCTCTCCGAGGAAAAAGGATGAAACAGCGGGTTCTTTTCAAAGCCTTTGGACGGTGTTAACCTGAGCTGTTTAAAAAGAAATATTGAAGGGAAGCAATCTCAACCAGGTTGTCCTGTTCCCCCTCCATTCTATTGCCATCTGCTTCCTTCCCACCCTCTCCACCAAAACCCCACAGACTCTAGTGGGCTGGCCACAGGACATGCGTGGCTTGCCGCTAAGGGTTTTTGTTACTTCAAAGTTTTTCTTCAGGGAGCCAGCCATGAACTGACTGACTGGTATCAATTTCCTGTACGGCTCAACATAAATGAATTGGTGGTGTTTGATCAGTTTTTATACACTTCCTCTAGGTCTATAGGAACCCAGACTTTTTAATGCAGATGTAAATATGGAGCAATTGTCACACCTCTGGCCCTTCTTATTGGGAAGGGGAACTGTTATCTTGCCAAGCCTGGTTGTAATTTATAACCATTTTCTATTTGTGCAAACTCTGTAAATAATGTTTTAAAATGTATTATTTTGTACAAGATACACTGGAGAACAAAGGGAACTCAAGGTTTTTCCACACACTTCACCTGTAAGTAGAAGTTAATCCTGTAGAGGGCAGCTGCCAATCCTGGCTCTTCTTCCAGGAGTTTCAGGGATTCCTGCATATTGGACAGCTGGCTGTATGGGATAGATTGTCATTTGGGGATTTTTTGCTGTACACATTTTTTTAAAAAAGTAACTCAGTGAATACCTTGCAGTGGTGTGTTTGATTCTTTTTTAGACTAGCTTCAGCTTTGTGCAATTTAAGAATAAATGACATAAATAACTTGAGCATATATAAATTTCGAATTATATAAAAAAATGTATTTGTTCTGTTTAGTTATACATTACAGTAGAATACACACGAGAGAGAGAGAAAAAGAGAGAGAGAATAATCTCCCATTCTGGTTGAACATGATGTGGAGTTATACTGGTTATATATTCGTGTATGAACATAGAAAAGTATGTCCAATTCATTCTACTGTCTTTTCCATCCCCACCCACCTCATTCCTCCAATACTCTACTGTCCAATCTGGTGAACCTCCACTCTTCCCTCCCCACCACCTATTTTGAGTCAGCATCTGCATATCAGAGAGAACATTTGGCCTTTGTTTGGTTTTTTTTTTGGGGGGGGGGATTGGCTTATTTCACTTAACATGATAGTCTCCAGTTCCATCCATTTCATTTAAAATGCCATAATTTATTTTTTCTTTATGGCTAAGGAATATTCCATTGTATATATGCACCATATTTTCTTTATCCATTCATCTGTTGAAGGGTACCTAGGTTGGTTCCACGGCTTAGCTATTGTGAATTGAGCTGCTATGAACATTGATGTGGCCACTTCATTATAGTATGCTGATTTTAAGTCCTTTAGGTATGTGCCAAGGAGTGGGATAACTGGGTCAAATGGTGGTTGCATTTCAAGTTTTCTGAGGAATCTCCATACTGCTTTCCAGAGCGTTTGGATCACTTTGCAGTCTTACCAGCAATGTGTGAGTAAACATTTCCCCCCCACATCCATGGCAACATTTATTGTTACTTGTATTCTTGATTGTTGCCATTTGGAAGCAGAGTGAGATGAAATCTCAGTATAGTTTAAATTTGCATTTCTCTAATTGGATAGCTGAAGTTTCTAATGCCAAATTTGACCTTTTATCTTTTGTCTTTGTTTTTTCAACCTCCTTTTTTTCTATTTACATATTTTTTTGTAATTTCATAAATTATCAGTCAGTGGCAGATTAGAGGTAAGCCCTACAGATGGTTGGAGATCTATGAATCCAGAGTACCAGGTGGGGTGGCCTTTGCTAGAAGCACTGACAGTTCCTCCACCAGAAGAAGTCAGGTTCTGGGCACAGAGACAGGGGTGGGAGACTTAGCTGTAGAAACCTGTGGAAATTCTCTTCTGATTGTCTCTATTTACCCAGAAAATGAGTAAAGGAGGTCTATCTGCTAAAATGTCTGGGCCAGATGCAGTAGCTAAAATTAGATAGTATAAATAGACACAATCTTTCAACAGTATCAATGTATCAACAGTTTCTTTTAAAATGTTACCTTTCTGCCAGACATTCCAATGCTGCAAATTCAGCCTAAGGAGACATTTAAACAAGTGCACAAAGACAAGAGTACCATGATGGTCCCTGGAATAAGATCCTCTTACTTTACCTAGAAATTAGGAATCTCCAAAAGTGTCCATGAGAACATTCATGTGTAAATAATACTATACTCAAGGATCTAAAATGATAATAGATGTTAGATTGGTACTTACAAATTGGAGAGTCTTGTATCAATAGCTACTAAATTAATTAACACAATAAGACTGGGAAAGACTACAAGGATGTTCACCAAAAAAGTTAACAAAATTTCTCTCTCTGGTACTGGGGAAAGGGCTATCACTGTTTATGGGTATTTTCCAGAAATTTTGTAGCACCTGTTTATTATTAATTCTGGAGGATTCTATAAAATAAGGATAATCTTAGCATGATTTTGAGACCCCCCCCCCCCCATGGCCTATGTCATTACCCAGACACATCATTAAGTCTCTGGAAATTTGCAAATGCTATTCTCTCTACCTAGAAACCCCATCCAATTTATATAATTCCTGCCTATCCTTCAGAAGTCCCTATAAACCTTCCTCCTTCAGGCAGCCTTGCAAATTCTAGGGCTAATGTAGATTTGTATCCATGCACCCACCTGTTGATACTGCCTGTGGCCTACTGTATGCCAGCCCCTGATCAGGGTACTTCTCCCATTGGCCACTCAGAAGCCTCAGTCTCTCTCACTGCCCTAGAAGCTCTGAGGACAGGTGCCGAACACAGTACTCCACAAAAGTGCTGAGAAGATGGGTAGATAGAGAAATGAGGTTCCATTATCCTGGTTTTGAATTAATGGCTCAAATGCCTAGAAGACCTAACACTGAGCCCTGAACCAATATCCCTAAGCAAGAGAGAAGAAAATCCCATTTGGACAGACTTTCCAGAGATGCCCTCCCTAGAGTAGGGGAGCTTATTGGAACCCAGCACCTCAACTCAAGAAAGGAGAATCATCAGGGCATGAAAGGGACTCCAGTTAAGCAGCATTCTGTGGGCTCCCAGGGTCTTTTCCTTTTTGTTCTCATTAATATCTTAATTGTTGTTTTGCGGTTGTTCTTTAAAATTATTTTAAAAGATACACAACATAAAATTTAACCATCTTAATCATTTCTAAGTGTATAGACTAAAAGTAAGTATATTCCCTTGTGAAACCAATATTCAGAACTTTTTCATCCTGACAAACCACAACTCTTTATCTATTAAAAAAAAATTCCCCATCCTTTCTCCTCCCAACCCCTGGCAACCATGTTCTACTTTCTATTTCTGCAAATCAGACTGCTCTAGATACCTCATGTAAGTGAAATCATACAGTATCTTTTGTGTGTGATTGACTAATTTCATTTAGCATAATCCTCAAGGTTCATTCATGTTGTAGCATGTTAAAATTATTTCTTGCTATAGTTTGGGTAAGTGTCCCCCAAAGGTTTGTGTGTTAAAGATCTGGTTCCCAGCCCTTGGCACTATTTGGAGGTAGAAAAATCTTTAAGAGGTAAGGCCTATTTGGAGGTTTTTAGTTGATTGGGATTGTGCCCTTGAAGGGCATAAAGGAAGCCCAGCCCCTTCCTCTTTCTCTTACTTCCCAGCCATTCTGCTACGTGCACCCTACCAGGATGTGCTGCCTCACCACAGACCCAAAATCAAGGGGACCAAATTGCATGGACTGGAACCTCCAAAACACTGAGCCAAAATAAATATTTTCTAAGTTGATTATCTTCATTGTTAAGGCTGAAAAAATATTCTATTGCATGTATAAGCCACATTTTATTTACCTGTTCATTTGCTGATGGATGTTTGAGTTGCTTTCACCTCTAGGATATTGTGAATAATGCCACCATGAACATGGGTATACTAATATCCCTCTGAGAACCTGCTTTCAATTCTTGTGGGTATATACACAAAAGCAGAATTTCTGGATTATAGAATAATTGAATATTTAACTTTTTGAGGAACCACCATACTATTTCCCATAGCAGCTGCAGCATTTTACATTCCCATTCAGTGTATAAGGTTCCAATTTTATTTTCTGATTTTTGATAGCAAACATTCTCATAGCTCAGGATGGTATATAAGTCTCAACCATCTGGCCACTTTCTGATTTTCCTAATTTCATGGGTCTCCCATGCGAACATAATTAAAACTGTTTTTCTCCTGTTAAATTATCTTATGTCAACTTACTTCCTAGATTGGCCACAGACCAGCATTTTTCCTCCTCTACACCGCCTAGAGCCTGGGAAAAATGGAGAATGAATGCTAATGGTTATGAATTGGTTTTGTTTTGTTTTTGAAAGGGCAATGAATGAATTATACAATTGCCGTGATGCTTACACAACTCAGTGAATATACTAAAACTCATGGAACTATAAATGGGTGAGTTATATAATGAGTAAATTATATCTGCATAAATCCTTTAAATATTTAAAAAGATGACATTGTAACATTATTTGTTAAGCCCTTACAAAAATTTAAGGTAATGATTCAATGAGCCTTTCAAAACCAAAGGACTTCTACAAAGCTTAAATTTACCGTCTTTTGGTCAACTCAGCAAGGCCAAGGTAAACAATGGCTTATCTTAAAGAAATCAGTGGGTGTGGATCTCAGGAGGACCCACAACACTGTTTATCATGAGGCTGTTTTCCTGATGGTACACTGGATTTGTTCTGAGGCCCTTTTTCACCTTGAGACCCCTTTGCTGGCAAAACAAAAACAAAAACTGGCCCAGGCCCTTTTCATA